AATTTCCAATTTTGAGAAGCCTCCTCCTTTTTTTCCTCTTTTTAAAAAATGTTAATTGTGCAATAACTCTTACTGAAGGACTAGTCAGTTTATGAAAACTACTTGATTTTTTTTAAATTGTAGTTTTAAGAGGTTTGTTTTCCTTTTAATTTATTTATTTTTTAAATGAGATATGCTAATTGTGCTGTAATCCTTACTGAAGAACTAGCTAGTTCATGAAAATATAACCACTTAAAACTTTGAAAGTTACATGTAATGATGTTTTGGGTTTTTTTCTTAAAAAAAAAAAAAAATCAAACTGTAACACCAAACCATAACACTGGCATATCCATGGCAGCCACAGTGCTCGTTCTCCTCAGCCCACAGTCAAATAGAACAGGTATTACAGTTGAGATAACTGCTATATGGCAGTCATTTCCCCAAATACATTCAAAACCTCTGGAATTGATACATTAGTATCTAAGTACATGAAAGCTGTTATGATGGAATAGATTTCCTGTTTTAATATAATTTTGCACTGCATATTGCTAATTCCTTTTCTTTGTAATGAGAATTCCATTCCCAGCAAGACTTACAGGAAAATGAAGAGCCACAGATTCATTTCAGTCCTATAAAACGGTGTATGCAAACAAAAACTTGGAAGCAACAACATTTACAACTTTTAAAGCTTTTACAGCTTTATCTATACATCTGTGAAAATAAAGACTAAATAATTTTTATTATTTGCTATTATTACTAGAGAACTGTCCCATGCCTCAGTTTTGTACAATACTTGTAACCTTTATTCACTAACCAAGCCTGTCCGCAAGAACTGACCAGCCCCTGTACTCACACTGATGGCAGGCCAGTGGGTGAGCATCTCCGAGTTTCACTGCTGCTCTCTTTCAAAAGGGGCAATTGAGATTTCTCCTCTATTTAGTCACTTAAAACACAAACAATTGCCAAAGTTTGCAGGAATTAAATATCATCCAGAACTCCATGTATTGCCAAATTTGGCTGAGACTAGCCAAGCTAAGTATTGAGGATAAAGGACAATGAGCAAAGGACAGGCTCTGATCATGATAATTTTCAGTGCTCCAAACCAACCTCATAGGAATTCATCTTTGGGATCATGTAGATGCTGACATTTAGGGCCAAAAAGATGATTAGAGGGCTGGAGCACCTCTCCTATGAGGACATGCTGAAAGAGTTGGGGTTGTTTAGCCTGGAGAAGAGAAGGCTGCAAGGAGACCTTATTGCGGCCTTCCAGTACCTGAAGGGGGCCTACAAGAAAGCTGGGTAGGGACTTTCTACAAGGGCAGGTAGCGACAGGACAAGGGGCAATGGCTTTAACTTAGACAAGGGCAGATTTAGATTAAACATTTGAAAGAAGTTCTTCACCATGAAGGTGGTGAAATACTGGAACAGGTTGCCCAGTGGGGTAGTGGAGCAACAGTGGGGCTCTGAGCAACCCTATCTAGTTGGGGATGTCCCTGCTCACTGCAGTGGGGTTGGACTAGATGACCTTTAATGGTCTCTTCCAACCCAACAAACTCATGATTCCATGATTTTAAGAGCCTGATGACTCCTCCTCCTCCTACTCTTGAACTCTGCACTGAAAAACCAGTTATTGTGTTTGGTGTTTGAACACACACACAGATGAAAGACTGTAAAAGAAGTATCACTTAGCATTTTTAATGTGCACTTCAAATACATATGTTATTTTAAAGTAATTTCATGTATATATTGAAAACTTCTCACCAGTTTAAGATCCAAGCAATTTAGCTCCCATTAAAAATTATTGGCTTTGTTTTGTTTTTCAAAACTAAGCTTCAATAATTATTCAAAAAAGGTTTACTGTTTTTTGAACTGTATGCACGTAAATGTACAAAAACAGACCAGCTTTGTATACTTATTTTTCCTTCTCCAGCAAGTGCTGCTGAAGCATAAGTCTTATCCAAGATGCTTTGTTAGCTCTCTTTATCTTGTGAAATCTTACAAAACTCATGTTCCCTTTTAAAAAAGTAAGCTTTTACTTTTAGAATATACTCTTAGGAACAGAGTTTGCTAGTTGTTGCCAATTCTTCTGGCTAAATGTTCTTAAACAATAGAGGCACTACTGTATTTAAGTAAAGTTACTTTAAAATGAGTTAAAATTATTCACATACAAAATATTCAGATACAGCATCCACCTGAGAGGTTTAGATATGGTGGATTTCTAATTTTCAAATTTTCTAATTCAGTGGTTTCCGAACCTTTTGGTACAGATGACCACTGCAGAATGACAGACCATCACTCAACCATGTGCATGAGCAGAAAACACTATGAAGATGAGAATTGTTTTAAAGGCCATTTACTGGGGCCACAGACAAACATTTGAAGTAGGATTTGAAAAATGACAGCGTTCAATGTAACAAAACATTAAGCATTCTGAATAGGAAGATGAATTTTTAAATCAGTAACATTTCCTTTGTGAAAAAATAAAAAGGTATTTAGGAGGGCCTGGAATTAGCAAAGTTAGAAGTAGTAGGGAGCTTAGAAGAGGATTTTTGTATCAATCACTCTTATCTCTGGCCAAAAATTAGCTACAGAATTTTTGACTTGGAGAACTGTGACCCTTCTAGCATAACAGAAAATATTTTCTAAATAAAAAAGTGACAAGACTATGGACATATGATAAACTATGCAACGGTTCCGAGCTCAAAGGAAATTTTTAACCATCTGACTTTAGGTACTAAACCTGGGGGAACAGATTCCCGGTATCATCAAAGAAGAGGGAAGTCTTCTAAAAGCTTCCTGGCAACACACACTCCTGTACTGTGTGTCAAATGAGTTGTCTGCAGTCACACTGTCTGCCCTGAAGGACTGCTTTTGCTCTAGTAATTAAGACATTAGGAGCAATCTTTAAGACTTAGGATTCATTCACGTCTTTCAGCTTCTTATTGTTCACAGGTGAGGAATAAAACTAGTATGTAATAAAAAAACAGAACTTTTCCAACAATAACTGGAGTTAGCCACTTATTAATACTGCTGTTATTACATTAATCAGTCTGTCTGCTTTGGTCAAAACCTCTGGGTACTCTCTGCATATCAATTCTACCTCTCCAGTATGGAAAAGGCTTAACATTTTACAGGTAAAACACCTACAAAAAGCCAGGGACATGAGTGTTGTCAAGCAACTGACCAAAATTATGTGTTTTAATATGAGTCTCTCATTAGCAGTTCTGCATTCAGAGCCAGGCACATGGAATAAACATAAGCTTATCAGGCTCTGCAGGTAACATCCTTTGTGTATGATGAAAAAATGACTTGCACCTTACTGTGTTGTCAAAATAGTACTTTGGAAACAATTACCATTGTAGTATGACTGCTGTCTGGAATGGATGGATGAGGTGCACTGCCAAAGGGTCATCATTCCTCCATTTTTCTAATGGTAAGCTCAGGTGTTTCTGAACTGTAAATTGGTTTTTGCATTTCGTAAGTGATGTATATCCTTGGCAACCTGCAGACTTTTTATGCCCATGACACATAAGAACATACTGTCTAAATGGCGACTCTAAACACTGACAACCTTTCAGATAAATAGAGATAACAATCAAAGCACCAATGTCTAGAAATTGGAAAAACACTTAATTTTTGTCTGAGAACTGTCACCAGTTGAAATACCCAGAAAAAAACCCAAACATATTAATCATTTGTATATTCTGTCATTCTTAATCTTGAAACAATTAGAATGCATTATTTCAAAAAACTGTTTTCTTGGTTATTTCTCTGCTACATGACTCTCTATTTTACGCTCAATTCCTTAACCTGAGCAACTCTCATATTAAAAATAGCAGACTTAAAATAAATCAAGAGTAACTTTTTAAAACAGATACTATTGATGCTAGCATTTTAACTCTGGAATTAAAGAAAAATCCAAAGATTGCCAATACAAGCAACAGTAATAACAGCAAATACATATTATCCAAAGTTTGTGTAAAAAGGAAGAGAAAGAATAACCTGTCACTCATGTTCTCATCTGAGCCTTTTTGTTCCTCATACTCCATTTTGTCCTTATTTGCTTGGTTCACTTCTTCATTTTCAATAACTACTCCTTCATCCAGTATTTCTGGTCCTTGTCGAGCTGCCGCTACTTTTCTTTTCTTCACTTTGCTCTTGGAAAACTCTTGGTGTTGATACGATTTATTGTTATTGTCCATTTCTTGTTTTCTGCCGTTATCCTGCTGTTGAGTTACAGTCAGTGCATTAGAGACTTCTGATGGTAGATCTATTGCCATCCGTTTTACCTTTCTTCTCCTGCGCAAAGTTCTGTTTCCCAGACTGTCAACAGCCAAATCTGGCTCATGCCACAGAGGTCTTTTGCCTCTAATGTTATTTAAGTTTGAGGAAGGCCTTCGTTTAGCAACCAACAACTGGTCATCAGAGTCACTGTGGTCTTTCTTATTAGCATGGTTGTCCCTGTAGTCTTTGTTTGATTCTTCTAAACTGGAATCAGAACCTTCACTTAAGCAGTGACCAGTCTCCCAGGGATGATGGGTGGTAAATGAACGTCTTTTTCGTCCCCTCCTTTTCCTTGCCTGTCGCTTTAGAAGACAAGACACACTTCGAGAATGATCTCCAGTATCAGCAAAACCTCCTCTGGCTTGCTCTGAACTTTCTTCCAGTGCCGAGACTAGATCGTGAACCAGCTCCTCCATAGTCCTACTGAAATGCCTATATATTTCAAGAAAACAAAGACACACAAGAAAACAACATATGAATCTGAAGCATCAAGCATAAACTCTATAACAATTTTACCTGCCAAAATAATTTTGATCACGTCAGGCAAGGCAGTCTTAATGTCCATTCTGTAAAGATTATTGTATTTCTGCTGAGAGACAAAGCCTTGCCAACAAGTCCTATGCAATTTGCAACATATCAGTGTAAATTCCTTTTAAAAATTATCTTCCCAAATTTTTGTCTTGGAAAGAAGAGTGGCTCCCCTATTTTTCATTTTTTTTTAGCCACGCTATTTTTGTTTGGGTTTAATTCACCACATCACATTTTTATGATTTTCAGGGATTTTGCATGGCCACAGCATCAACAAAGACAATTCACTCTAACTGTAGATAGGGAGTGCATTTTGAATTTATGAATGGGAAATGGAACACATAATGTTCCTCCTTGGCAGTATATTAGGGAGTTCGATTTAAGAGTTGTCCTTATGAGAAAATATTTTTAAGGATAACTATCTCTTGATGCTGCCTAAATGCCAAAATGAAGTTAAGACAGTAATGCTTTGATAACATATATAATCTTTTTTTTTAATAGCAACTAATTCTGTCTTTCCAAATGACTGACATCCATTTGATTTTTTAAAAATATTGTTTCAGTGGAGTGTTAAGTTGAGAGAATAGCCTGCTATAGGTAATTCTAGAGTACTAAATGCGAAGTTTCCCGTCACTTGTAGGCACTCGCACCCACAGAATGCATTGTGTTAGAAAAAGTATCCCTAAATACACACCATGTCTAATTAAGGCCTTATCCTTTTAAATGTTTTGCCCCTTCCTTCTCAAATTTCACTAGCATTTAGCAAGTCTTTAACTCAATATACTTGCAGTTACTTGGTAAGTTCACCAATATCCACATGAATGTAAATACAAAATGAAAATATTAAATGATTGCTGCTGAACTCTAATCCTCTGAAGGCTGTGAACTTTTTCTGTAAACACAGCAACCAGATTCTCACATCAAAGCATCAGAAGATCCCTTTTGTTGCAGTAAAGCAAAGACTAATGTTCATGTTCTTTACTATATTACCATAATATATAAATATGGAAGACATTCGGTAAATTATGTAGAGGATGTTTTAAAAGCAAGACTTTTCATGTTGTTTTACAGTATGAATTGAGGAGGAATTAACAAATAGTTTTCAACTCATACCAATGGAGTTGTAAATGTGGAAAAAATACAGACACATAGCATACAGGTTCCCTCTCTCACCACAAACTCCAGTGTCAAAGGTACTTAATGGTAATGGCTGAATGGACAGTCATGACCATAGAGTAGATAAATTGTAGATAAATTTTAAATACTAATGAGGGAACTGAAGAGCATGTTTAAGGAGAAATCCAAGCTGGTCATGAAATATGCTAACTAAAGAAATGATGTGTTCTTCTTTTAAACTATTTTCAGAAATAATACTTATTTTTAACACTCCAACTCCAAGATTAACAAATGCACAGAGCGGGGTAGAAACACAAGCTCATTTTGAATCCCTGAAACTACTGTGTCACTTATTTCTCATACCTCTTTTTCAGTACTGCTGTAACCTCTGGTCCTATTACTCCCTTTTAACCTAACATTTTCTTTAGCTTTTAGTACAGCAGAATCATCATATTATCTTGTAGGGGGTGACACAGCTCTGGAAAAATGTTATACTTCTCCTTAATCCATTTGGTTCACAACAATCAAAACCTCCATAATCATGCAAAAATACTTCTCAGAAACAAGAGAAGCAACACAGTAGGAAAAGCATTCAAACCGAAGCAACGATTTTCTGAAAATTCAGAGAGAAATAAAAGTGAAAGCCAACGAACCTAGAATACTTGAGACAAGTGATATTGAAATTATTTTAAACTGATTTTTACTTTGAGTTTTCAAAGTTTCTGCAGAGGGTTTTTGGGGGATGTGTGGAGGTTTTCTTTGGTTTTTGTGCTTGTGTAGTAGGAATTTCAACCACCAGTAGAAGCAAGCCCAGGAATATTTGTACAAGGTTACTACACATGATGCTTAGATATATTAACCCATGTTTCTCAGTAGCTAAAAATGCACAGTGAGGAAGACACTAGCCCCTTTAGCCTTACTGCTAAACACCCATGAAGATAGCTATCCTCACAGATGCATGTTATCAGAAATGAGATGCCCTTGAGATTTAGTGTTTTCTAATACTTCTGTGCTAATGTAACAGAAGCAATAACACTCCAACAGCCAAACTCCAGTATATTTATTTATATAATATATATTTGAGACATTAATTACCCCAGCTGCCTGCTTAGCCCTTCTGACACAGGCCTTTACATTTATAGAGAACTGATAGATGTGGAGGTGCACCAGAAACTGAACCACTAGGCTTAAATCTACATTAAGCTCTCAAAGCAAATAGGTTTCTGCCAACATGCCAGAATATAAACTAGAGTATATAATCTCTTTTGCAGCCCACACTGCTAGTGCTCATGCAGCACAAAGTAAAAGGGAAAGGAAAGACAGGGACACTAATGCCTTACATCACAGTTTATGATTAATGTATTCAGTTCAGCATCTCTAATCCATATGGATAACTATATCACTAAAATCAATGCAGCTTCTAGAATGGACATACCAACTTACTCCAGATAATGGCATAAGTATGGTGGTAAAGTTGCCTTAGTTCTATGAAATACTTCAAGATAAAACACAATATATCCAGCTTAGATTTATAGATCTGATCCAAACTTGCCTTGAATTTCCCCCAAATACTATCAATACAGACGGTGCCAGATCAAAAGATAAAACTCAAGAGGAGTGAATATCCTTAAGTGTTTTTGAAGTAAAGGGATAATATGATTCTTAAAAGGCCCTGGGCAGTAAGGGACTTACTTTCCATCAGATCACAACTTTGAATCTTACATTCTCCTGCAATTAATCTTTTCTATTGAATATCAGGTCTCTTCACTGCACCTCCTGAAACAAGATTTGTACCAGTGACCTTGTTTCACCCTATAAAATTACAGCCACAGACTCACATATAATGGAACTGTATCCTAACCACATCACCTCTTGGACAGATCAGACAAATTAATATTATAATTACTTCTGCATGTTTTCTTAGGATGATTATAATTACTTGATCAATTTGGGACACTGGAAGCTTCTTTGTAATAGATTGAGAATGTAATACACATTGTACTTCAGCTTTTAATTCACACTGCACTTCCAACAAGTCAGTGGTCCACATTAAAACTCCTCCTGAAATCCCCAGAAATCTCTTTTGATTTATTTTATTGGAGCTCTCATTTCTCTTGCAATAATTGAAGAAAAAAAAATGGCACCAGCAACTAGATAAAACAGTTAATCTGAAACCTGCCTCCAAAATTCAAGAGCATACTTCTATTACAGCATTATTTACCAAGCTCAATTTTGCAACTTTCTCCATCGTTCACAACCAGCTGTCAAGACTGTATTCCATGAAGTAACTGTATTCCTATGAAGTAATTTTAATCATCACTGCAGATGCTACTGTATCAAAAATATTTGCATTTGAAATAGTTTGAAGAATAACTACAAGTAGTATTAAAGACATCACCAGTGAGTATCAACTGCATCCAGTAGGATGAGAAATTTCAAAGGCTTTAATAAGGAACATAGAACAACATATTGAGGTACATAAAAAGTTGAGCCATAGTTTAGCATGACTCACATAAGGCTATAAAAACGCTGTTACAGCAACAGCCCACAGCTAGCAATAAACTGTAATGTCTTCACTAGGAGAAGATTCTACTTTACTATAAGAAAATCTAGTTTGCCTACACTGACCTTTCAATTTAGTTGAAGCAATTTTAATGTAATTCACCAAAGGCTGACACATTTCCTCTCTAACCCTTACCAGAACAGACCATAAAAATACTGTTGCAGGAAAACAGTGTAACTGCATTCACCTACTCCAAAACAGGTCACACAGCTTGTCCAATATTAATATCTGTATTGAAATTCCTAATGGAAATAATAGGCACTTGCTTTTTCAGTGGAAATCAACTACTATTTTCGTTCACTTCCCACCTAAAGCATATAACAACGTAAAGCTCTGACTGATCACAAAATGCTTAACAAACACTTATACGTCAATGGGAAAGCTAATTTAGTTGCACAAGTCACAAGAGAGGCAATATCTTTTACTAAACTAACAGCTGCATTTACATTTACTTTCTAGTTCTATATCTTTTCCTGTTAAACAGATAAGAAGTTTCTTGCAGCTAAAGTTATGCTGCATCTGTATCTCACCAATTCTGAAAAGAACCATAATTTTTGCTGCTTTTACAATCCACCTTGAACACAAGCTAAGAGCACAAGAAAAATCAAGTAGTTCCTTGAACATTAGGTTATAAAACCCAACTTTCTATAGTCTATTCCTACACAGATTATCTGATGTCTGGTAACACGGCTGTACTCACAATGCACCTTTCTCTTCAAACAGGTACTAATTTAAATCCCATTTCTTCACCTCAGAAGTTATTTTCACAAAGCCTTACAAACATTAGTTTTGAGATCTCTGCTTTATTCACAAGAGTGAATGAAATTTGGAATGAAGAGGTGCAAGTACTTGAGAGGGAGCAGCAGATGATAAATCTCACTGCCTTGCCTGAAGAATTTACGGATTCAAAAAAAGAACCATTGTGGTCCTTAGGATACACAAAGGGGAAAGCAAAACGGAGCAACACAACTTAGATAAAAGTACTAAATAGCTAGCAAGAGATTATGGCAGATGAGAAAGTAACTGATAAACCTGTGTTTTGTAGAAGCTTATGTACACATCAGAAACAGAAGTTGTGACTCAACTACTTAAACTCATCTGTCATCAGATGGCCATCACCAAGAGAAGGACAAAAGGCATCCAGGTCCATGTCCATGCCTATTTATGTCCTCAGGCACTGTCTGCTCTATAACCAGGTACAGAAAGCTACACAATGACCAAAATGCATTCTACTCTGTACCAACCATCGCTGGGGGGCATAATAGCTTTCTATAGAGCTACAGAGAATCCCTATACTCTTCCACTTACAAGCATCCCGCCCAGGGCTTCCTGTAAAGACCAAAGGTCAACTCACTGGCAACACATTCAGAGTGCATCTGACACGCAGACTAAAGAAACTTACTACAAATGTAATTTTCATACTACAAAATTTAAAAATGTGACAGTGTCAAAACAGAAATTCACAGAAATTATCAGAAAGGATAATTATTTTGTGTTTCATATAAGATCATGTGAACAGTTACAAGAACTGAGGAGTCTTCAGAAAAGTCAAGATACTATGTTGGAGCACATCTGTATCTGAAAAGGGAAAAAAAAAAAGCCCACACCAAAATCCCAGGCTATTTCTCATCTTCAGGGTATGCCAACTCTCTTTTGCAGTGTAGAAATGTGCTACACTGCAATATAAATATAAATCAGTTTTGCAAAATGATAAAAGTATAAGAGGAACTAAAAAAAAATTATTATTTCTGAGCCATTGTTCTACAATTAAATATATAATTACTACATTTCCTAGAAATTTCTAGAAACTCTTTTCTATATGAAAGATAGAACTCCCAGACATTTAACTGTATACAATTACTAGCAACACTTTATTCCTCCAATCACACACTACACATCACTTCTTGGTATCAACTCTGTATTTGAGAAAGTTCTTTAGACAAGTTTTGCAATTTCCTTACACTTGTCCTATATAATAAAAAGTTACTAGTATTTGAGGAATGATGAAATATTATTAACTGATTATGCTCCTGATCTCTCTAAGAATTAGGGCCAAACAAACTTGCAATAAAGTACATCTGACTTTTCCACAACTGCTGCTTATCTGAGAAGGCAAAACAATAAATACTATCAAGTCTACTCATACTTAACAGTGAAAATGTGTTCAGTATAGAGCAGTGATATACAGTTAGAAAGATGCTGACATGAACTGCATTTAATAAGGCTCTAACACAAATGAACTGGTCAGCCAGAAATGAGTTTTGGAGCAATTTATCATGAGAAGTAGCAATTCTGGCAATCCCATTGCTGCCATGTACTGATATGCTTGCCCTTTTCAGAAGTACGACTTCATTAAATAATTGCCAAGGTATAAACTCACATGAACTGCCAAATGATGGTAATATGCTATAGCAGCAAAGTCATTATCAAAAGAATCACAGTCCCCAGCAAGTACCCAAAATGCAAACTATTCCTAAGTTGTCATGTGAATTCACAACATAAATAAAAAGCATTCAGCTTCAGAGGAGCCTTACCACCCAAAGAGAACACTCCTGCTCTGTGGCTGTTCTGACTCTACTCATTTAGTTAGGGTCCTAATGACTTCAGAAAGCACAAGATGTTGATTTTCTACATCAAGTATTAGACATGGAAAAAAAAAGATTCCTGCATCTCACTCAAATGTGTTTCCTTTAATGGAAAGCTTCTGAAATAACCTATACATAAGAAAAGACAGAGGCTCTGAGTAGTCAGATTTTTAACAGATCTTCCTTCAGAACTGGTAAACTAACAGCCATACATATTTCAGTAAGTCTCTTTGTACTGAATTCCTCCAGACAGTGTATTTGCACAAGTAAAATCATTACTGTTTGATGACAGTTACTGAAGAAAGCTTTCTCATTTAAAAAAAAAAAGTAAAGAACCCATGAAAATACCCACAGGATAAAAAGTGGTGGTATCAGCAGAAGTGAGGGAGGAACAGAGTTTTCCATGTAAGGAAACTAAGTGCAGTGCCTTTCTCCTCCTCTTCTCCATCTCCAGAAACAAACAAACAAACAAACAAACAAACCAAACCAAACCACAAAAAAAAAAAAGGAAAATGTAACAAAAAAAATAAATCTATTTCATATTTGGGAACGCTACCAGCAGGTGTTTGTAAATGTAACATTGACTCCAGACCTCAAACTGTCAACAGTCCAAAAAACAAAAAC